TGATTCATTTTATACTCTTAATAATATGACCTAAGATTTTTTTTCTTGTTGGCCCAATAAAAATTTTCCATTTTTCCTCACCAGAAATTGAATATCTCGGGGATAACTTTTGTAAATTCAATTTCCTTTTAAGCTGTAACTATTCTATACTGATTTGGGTTCATTTTGAATTAATATAAACTGAGTGTAAAACACAATCTTGAATTGGTTTTTGGGTGTCTTGCTAAATAACAAATGTTTTCCTTTTTTGCCACAAAATTTGAAATTTTTGTAAATTAAATTCCCTTTGGACTGGTACTTTTATTATGTGCTGATTTGGGTTTATTTTGAATTGATTTGAAAACACAAATTTTTCTATTGGTTTTTTTGGGTTGTCTTGTAGTAAAGTTATTATTATCCATTTTTCAAGTCAGGAATTCAATCGAATTGAAAAAAAAAAAAAAAAAAAATTCTTAGAGAATGATTTGTTTAATTATTTGTATATGAAGAATTCTTATAATGGATTTAATCGCACATAAAGAATTATATACCACTTAATGATTTGTCGGATGTGCAAAGAAAAGTAGTTTCCATCTTGAATTCTTACATGTTCTATGATGGCTAGACTTGCAATTATTGAAAAGATGATGAAATTAGATTTATGTGTTGTAGCATGATTATAATGTGATGTGAATAATTAAAAGTATATTAATCTTAATTATGTAATTTTATTTAAAGTTATTTAAGTAAATAAGAAAAAATTAAAAATTGTGGTGCACTGATAATATAATTACCATAAAAGTAAAGGCGGCAATGAGGGCGATTACGGCATTACAAAATTTGTTCTGTAATATAATACAAACGGCTTTAAATGTAACCTCCCTCTGTAAGCAACTGTGAACGCGAAAAAACCCATTATAGTATCCTAGAGAGAGAGAGAGACACACACACACACACACGACTTCCTCGAACTCCGACGATCGAAAGTACGTTATTTTTTAACTTAATCCATTTTTTATATGGCTAAATCTATTTTACATTTCTTAATTTTGTACTGAATTTTCAGTTATACTGACTTACAATTAGAATAGCTAACTTAAGAAGAAAAAATTTCGTCACGCTCTTTGAAAAAGCTGTTAACGTGAATTTGCAGGCTTTTTTTTTTTTTTGGGTGAAAATCTGCAATATATTTACAGAATATTATCTCTTAAGAGCTATGAAGCTCTGAACAATCCAAGTAACAATTTTTAGGTTCAAGTTTACTTTTTAGATTTCTTGATCGTATTTGATAAATCTAACAAAACCATAATCTTCTTCTTCTTCAAATATGATTTTTTTTGTCTTTTTCAGTTCATCTGAATCAGTGGATGAGTTGCTAATGTTTCTGAAAGAAGACAAGAAAAGATTTTCCTAGTATAGTAAGGATCGAGAAACTGTTGGATTCGGATCCGTCTTTTATTAATCCGTGGTTATTATATTCTAGGCCTTGTTGTTCAAGAAATAATGGTTTTCTTTTGTTTAATATTGGTGGGGATCGGAGGGTGAAAAATGGATTTTGACACGTTTGTCTGTCTTGTTTCTGATTGTACAAGTTTCTACGTTGTTCAACACATCTTTACGTTTCGGTCATTTTTCTGGGTTTCAGGTTTCGAGTTCTTGTAATAGGAGGTGATTTTAATTCATTTTTTTGGAGAAAATCTAATCACAGAAAGAAGACTTTGATGGGTTCAATTACAGAACCAGTCCAAGAAATAAAAATCAGCAAGCCCCCGGGGATTCGATTTGTAGAGTACATAAAAAGATCGACCATTTCTTACCAAACCTATCAAGCCATTGTCCTAATAGTAACATTTTTCGCGTACACAGCTTACCATGCTACACGAAAAACTACCAGCATAGTGAAAAGTGCACTCGATCCCCAATCACCGGATGTGAACTTGAAATTGCCCTTCTCGTGGAGAAGGGCATATGCACACAAGCCATTGGAGAGCACTAGAAATTCATGGGTGCTTGGAGCGGGTTGGGAACCATTTAATGGTTCCGATGGCACATCATTGCTAGGTGAACTTGACGTGGGGTTCCTTTTTGTTTATGCTATCGGAATGTTCTTCTCCGGGCATGTGGGTGATCGAATGGATCTTAGACGATTTCTGACTATAGGAATGGTGGGAACTGGTTTATTCACTGCTCTATTTGGAGTCGGATATTGGGCTAACGTTCATAACTTTTATTACTACTTGATAGTTCAAATGCTTGCCGGATTGTTCCAATCGACAGGTTGGCCGTCTGTGGTTGCAGTCGTAGGTAATTGGTTCGGCAAGAAGAAGCGAGGGCTCATAATGGGTATATGGAATGCTCACACGTCGATTGGGAACATTACAGGGTCTGTGGTTGCTTCTATGTTGTTGAAGTATGGATGGGGTTGGTCCATGGTTGTTCCCGGTCTAGGTATAACTTTTATCGGGCTAGTCGTATTTTTTTTGTTGCCTGTAAGTCCTGAATCGGTTGGAGCTGATATAGACTGCGATGATCTCCCCTATCCCAAAAAAGTAGAGGAAGAAGTAGCAGAACCTTTGTTGAAGCCAGAGGTCGAAGAGGAGTCAGCTGTCGGGTTTTTAGAAGCATGGAGAATTCCCGGGGTTGCTCCTTTTGCTCTCTGCCTATTCTTTGCTAAGTTGGTGGCTTACACATTCCTCTACTGGCTTCCTTTCTACATTAGCCACACAGGTACAAAAATTTCCCCAATAAAACTCTCTTTTCATCAGAATAGGTTTCTTTTTATTCTCATTCAAAATTTATCGATTCATATTTGCTCAAAATTCACTGTCTTCTGTATTCACGATGCAGCTATTGAGGGAAGGTATGTGTCTAATGAAGAATCTGGGACTTTATCTACGATGTTTGATGTTGGAGGAGTAGTTGGAGGGATCCTGGCTGGCCACATTTCAGATTGGTTAGGTGCACGGGCCATAACAGCCGCAAGTTTCATGTATTGTGCGATCCCGGCTCTCTTTTTCTACAGAAGCTATGGGCACATTTCCATGACTGTAAATATCGCCCTCATGTTGATCACCGGAATGTTTGTGAATGGACCATACGCTCTTATCACAACTGCAGTTTCGGCTGACCTGGGAACGCACAGCTCTTTAAGAGGAAATTCCAGGGCCCTAGCCACAGTCACGGCTATTATAGATGGGACAGGTTCCATTGGGGCCGCCATTGGTCCACTGCTAACAGGATACATTTCAGCCAAGAGCTGGAGTGCAGTTTTCTCGATGCTGATGGTATCAGCGCTAATAGCTGGCTTGCTTCTAACAAGGCTCATGGTGGCCGAGGTGACTGCGAAGTTTCAATCATCACACGAATCCAATAGGTCAAGGCCGTCTACAATTGAAGTATGATTTCTCTAAAATGGCTTAAAATTCCATTTTTCCTCGTGATAACCCCATCTCAAGTTATTGTCCTGATAGATTATGATATCACCTCAAGTTATTGTCCTGATAGATTATGAACGAGAGAATATGGGATCGTGATAGGAGAAGGCGTTTTTAAATTCTTCTTCGCAATTTGAAATTACAAAGGGAAGAACTGGCAGTTCTCTTCATTTTACTTGTATAAAAATGCATTGTGTATATAGTCTCGTTTGCATATGGGATAATGCATTCAACCTGTAAAAGCCACAAGAAATGGCTATCATGGGATTGTAACCTTCACATTTGTATACGGAACAAGCTTATGGGACATTATTTTCTTATATATTACAGCTTGAGAAGATGTCTTTTCCAATTCTTGAAAAACCAGAAGTGGATCTTTTGATGTCTTCATGGCCCGTGGACTTCTTTTGCTTCTGCTTCTTGAGAAAACTATCTTAGATGATATTTATCGGAAAGTTTTTTTTTAGTTAGACAAAAAACTTTTAGAAGATTATTCAAATATGTTCAAAAGTAACTTTTTAATCTCAAAACTAGAAAAATCCTGCTGTTGTAACGATTGTCAACTTGTCCTCACTCACCATCAATAAAATTTATTTATTTATTTAACATCATGCTTTACACTCAAACTAGATGATTCCTCCCATTTCTATTAGATTCCAGCTACCAAAACTAAAATAAAGCATTTCCACATATATGTTGTTACATTTCGAATTGACCACCTTGTATTCATATCTTTAAGACGTGTATGTTTTTGTAAGTTAGTAGGCTCTAGTTTTACCATTCCTAATGTAATCCGCTCAATTGCTCAAAGTCCATGTTCTCCCATTTTGTAATGTTTGGGCTTTTCTTTTTCTTCTCACTCAAAGAAAACAACAAAAGTGAAGGGTTAATTCACTAATGATCACCGAACTTCTATGAAATGTTTCATTTCAACCACTGACTCAGTATGTTGTCCAAGCTTCAATTGTTTTTCAATTATCTTATCTAATCCTACACTTATCGTTTGTGGTAAAAAGTAAAACATGCATGCACGTGTGTACATGTTTGTGTATGCGTACTTGTGAACGTGTGCATTGCAGACAAATCCTAGATTAAGTTGATTTTCGAGCATTTCAACCTGAACAATCTAAAGCAATTACATTCTTAGTAACTAAAACATGCAATAAAGATGGAGTCTCTGGTCGCGTAAGAAATCATGAGTAATACTAGAGAAAAGGATCGACCATATACCAAATTAAGATTTAACAGTATTTTTGAACCCATAAAGACGATGGAAGCATAACTAGAACAAAGATAAAGATGAGAATTACAAAGAATCTGCCCAACTATTTTTTCATAAACAAGATAGATTACCAACTAAGACGTAAAGAAACTACAAACCAAAAATGAAACAGAACAAAACATTTTGACAAATCAAGGAAAATCTGCAGAAGAGAAACCGTGTAGAAGAAGATATTTGTAAAAGAAAGATACACAGTCCATAGTACTATGTATTTAGTTGCACTATAATGCAATAGCCGGATGGAAGATATACTATTACGGAAGTGAAGCAATATAACTAATAATTATTCTATCCCCTCACCGAATCATCTGTTAATTTACCGGAAAGATGAATAACTATATAGATTTGAAATATGTCAAGTTCCAAAAAGGAACTACTTTCAAATTTTAATTAGAATTGACTCTATTAAGCCTAACTTTGAGGGGTTGTTCAATTGGTCAAGCCTTGGGTTTGCTTCCCAATGGTCACCAGTTCGAGTCCCTTCGGGGCCACTGAGGTGAGTACCCGACCGTAAACTTCAGGGTCTCGTGGGATTAGTCGAGATGCGCAAGCTGGCCCGGACGCCCACGATTATAAAAATAAAAATAAAAAATTTGACTCTATTAAGCCTAGTTCATTTGCAGTAGCTACATCGCACTTCAATTTTTTGGTAAATATGTTTGTTTTCTGTCCAATTAGATCAGACTCTTTGTCCTACCAATTTTCCAGTTTTTGAAGATGCAGCCAAATCTATTTTTCAGTAAATATGTCCAAATCCCGATATTTCTCTAACATGAAACTTTCTTGTCCACTTTGATATCTTTCTCAAAATCTTTGATTTGAGAAGAACAAGCTAAAAACAAAATCCAGAGCAAAAAGGTTCTTCTTTCACTTTGTTGATCTCATCTTTCACACTAAAAGCATCTACCAAAAACAGAACGATAGTTATGATATGGAATAATTTGGCACTAAGGTCTCGTGTTAATGGATAAGCTTTGGGCATCTGAACCTCAACTGATTCTAGCTCACAGATGGCAGACTAGAATTATGTCATCACGAGTTAAGCATCAAGAAAGGAAATAAATTAAATGAGTTCCATACCCTGAACAAAATTTTCTACCAGAAATAGAGTTCTTGATTTTGTTGTGCAATAGGTAAAAGTATATGCATGTGCAACCAACTGGAAATTTTCCCATCACTTCTCCAGTAGGAAAAGAATCCACCACTGAACTACACTGATTGCAGTACATGTGAATAAATATTGACTAGTAACCTAGTTTGTATCCCGTAAAGATCAACAATCGATTACTTGTGCAAGAAAACAGGAAAAGAACATAATATAAGTAATTGGAACCATGAACTCCTTTTACCTACATTGAAAGGACTTCAACAAGTAGAGTAGACAACTGCTGATGCTTTATGGAAAAGTATTGAAGGCTTTGTTGCCAAGAAAGAGAGTGAGCATATCAGTGAAAGAGAAAAAGGATAAAATAAAAAGTGTTGGCCATACCTGTAGGAGACTATCACGAGTTAGATCTTGGTCCAATTTAGCTAAAGTTCTCTGCTAGCCAGTCCCAATAAGTGTTCATTATCTAATGGTGCAGATTTTCCTTTTCTCTCACCTTAGTGATAATTCATTCGACTTTGACTAAGTCGATACTTGATTTTTGTTGTTACTGCAGTGATCCAAGAGATGTCCTTTATGAATGTCGTGCCTCCTCTAGGTAGAGAGAATTTTGTAATCTCGTTATTATGTAAATTTGATTTACACTTGGACCATGATCCAATAGTTACTTCATTGATAATTTTCTACAAAAAATTTAAGCATCATAATTATTAGCATTCCTGCTTTATATTTACTTCGCGTCTTTTTCACATTTGTTGAATATCGTGACAATTTATCTCGCATTCTTCAAGCAACCATGGGAAAGGAAATCTCACTTAATTGCTACTTGCTCGCTTTGTTATTTCCCAGCTGAGGGGTATTGATGACCAAGGTTAGCTCGCGAAATATAAACCAATAAATCCTAATACCTTATAACTTGAACCATTAGAACAAGATTCAGCTCCACAAGAGGCCGACCCATAGTAACATACACCAGGCTAACCACTTTGAACTTCAAAATCATTAGTATTAGCAACAAAATAATCAAGTTTCCACAATATACAGAAGTTCTAAGTCATTTCTTCTGGCATTCAGTAAATCGAATTACAATTAAATCCTTAAAATTTACCTACAAGAAACGATTGAAAAATAAATGAAGGAATTGTGTGAGGTAACACCTGTAATCGTCGAGGTTAATACTCAAACGGCATCGTCTTCAGGCTTCTTCGGCTTGCGGTATATTTCTTCAACTTTTTTTGCAGAGAAAAGGGCCTCATTTACAACATTCTTGATGTTGGGAACATTATAATTCTGGGCAATGTAAATTCCAAATACTGTTCCAGAAATGAACGAGAAACTGCTTATAATACCCATTTATTTCTGTGAAGAACAAAAATAATCAAAGGTTAGGGTTTTCTTTTATTTGGTCATTTATACCAGTTTGTTATAGTCAGAGGATAGCAGTGCTTCCGGCACCTTAGCTTCTGGAAGGATCCGGCCTATTGCCTACGTGCGCAACGGCGATCTTACAGAACTGGAGCGCTCGATTGCCAAGAAAGGAAAATTATTCAAATTACTTTTTGAGTCCACGTAAAGATGGTCGGCGTTGCCCGAGTCAGTGCTGCAGTCTTTTTGATCGTTACGCATCTAAAAATGTAAATTATTACAAATATTGATTTCTAAATAATAATAATAATAATAATAATAATAATATTATATTTATTTTGAGGTCTGCACATATTATTTAGGATTATGCTACATGTACATAATTTTTTACTTAATCTTTTACATCCCACTCACATTTGGGAGTGTGGGACCACGAGCAGCATTTTTTTAAAAACATGGGGCCTGCCGCATTTATGGGCACCCCCTTTCGGTACATCCGGATAAACCCTATTATTTTTATTTGAAGAGAATTATTTGTATGAGGGTAATTTTCATTAAAAAATTAGTTATTTTAATGCTATCAAATTATTTATGCTATTAAATAAAATAAAAAAGTAATAAATACCATTTTTAACTAATGTTATTAAAATGAAAAATACTATTCATATCCAGTGGAGATGCATCATCAATCTATGTTAAATAATACCTATCATTTAATGCTACATAGATTGGGGATGTATATCCACTGAGGATGAATATAATACCTATCATTTAATGCTACATTAACGTCACATAGACTGAGGATGCATATCCACTGAGGATGAATAGCATTTCTCTATTAAAATCAGATTTCTGGTAGATTTTGATAAGAGTTGATGAAATGTATGGTTGAAAAGTTGTGAATGCCATAAAATGTGTGGTTAAAATTAATTTTTAAAAGTTTTACGTCTTGAAATTTATGTCAAAATGTAAGTTATTATTATTTTCTCAACTACAAAAATAATTAGATAAGCAAATAATTGAAAAGTAAAATTTGATTCCAAACAAGACCTTTAAGAAAAGGACAAAATAAAGGCATATGTACATATTTCTATTTCCATGATAAATCCTTGATATTTCTTTTTTATGTAGCCCGGATTTTACTCATTACTGCCTTTCCCTCAAAAAAAATTATCATATCTCGCGCAAAAGAGAAAGATTACAGACATACAATTCGATCGCCTTCAAATTCGCCTGAATAATTTGTAATATCATCACTATTTTTATGTATATCCCGCTATTCGCATGTATGTCATGTATATGTATAGATATATGCTTGATCGAATTTTTGAGGTGACGAATTTTCATATTGTGTATTCAATTCGATCGCCTGTCTTTTTCTTCAAGTTCTGGTTCCTTTTCCGTTTTTTGGTTTTTCTGGTTGTTTAATTTGGTATGGAAAGGAGGGGGTTCCCCTTTGGTTACTTTAGGGCTTTGACTTTCGTTGAATAAAATACATCAGATAAAAAATTATTCTTTTCCATTTAGACGTGTTTAATATCGCTTTAATATGTCCATAAATCTCAAGGTTAATTATATATTTTTGTGCCAGAGTAGTATTTCTGTAATGAATAAGATATTAGTGAAATCACATTTTTGTTTTCAGTTGAATACTAACTTGACTGTATGATAAGCCTTTTTGATACGTACTTCTTGGTGGCATTTATGGCAGTTCATTTTTTAGCATCGAAGTTGTTTTCAGGCTATAAGATATATGAAAGATGTTGACCAGGATATCGATTATAGATTATATGTGTAGCAAGTGTTGCATCAGATAGTTGAGCCTTCTTTTATTTATTACTATTATAGTTTAAATTCAGAGAATTAGAGTTGATTATCACATGTGTTTACGTGTTTTAAAGTATGGAGCTTTGTTCTAGTCTAATTCCCATTGGGTGCTTTCCATGGAATGAAGTGCATTTCCATATTGACAGATGTGTCGAGTTCGAATGTGTTTCTATGGTCTCTGTATGCTTGTTGAGTCAATGCAGTTGTAAGAGAGATTGAAAGACTCGTTTACGGTAGATGTAGGATGCGAAAGGTGCATAATTTTCTGAAATCATCTTCAAAAATGAAAATTTGAAAGTTTTTATTTCGCAAATTAATGCTATCTTTGGGGGCTATTAGGTCATAAGATTCCAATGTAGGTCAATTTTCCATCCCCTTTCTAACCTATTTGTTGTTCCTCTTCACCAAAAAAAAAAAATAAAAAAAAAAAAATAATAAATAAATAAATTATGTTTAATTAGAATAACATAACTCATCTTATCAAAACATATTAGGGCCCTGTTTGAGCACCTTTTTGTAGAATAATAATGAAAAATATAGCCGTTATTGGGGCCCACACAAGAGATAGAAAATTTGAATTTAAATGTTAATGTGATGGATAACGGTCATATTTTTTATTTTAATGAGATAAAAGGTGGCCCAAACGGTGGCATATTGAATAAAAGACTTTAAAAGAAGCAACAATTTGTTTCTGCAATTTGTAGAGATATTGGACCTGTTTATGGTTTTTACCAGGTTCTAATAATGAATTATCTTGCTTATGGTTGCAGGATCTTTCGTTGCAGCCGTGATATTCCATTGATAATTTGACGGGAATGTATTGAAGCTAGTTAAACAAGTTGTTTTGTTCAATCGCAATGATAATATTTCATGATTGCTTGCCTGCGAAAATTGTCATTCTAATGTTCTTCTCGTGAAAATCTTGAAACTTAGTTTTGGTTGAAAGATCGTTTTTACTTTCAATGGGATTGAAGTTATTGTCAATTTCGGCGGGATGTACCATTTTAAACCTTGTAAGCCTCCAATATTGGATGCAAATGTCACTTGAGAATTATAAGTCAGATGGTTTGATTGTTGAGGATCTTATTAATTCCGAGAATGCAAGCCATGCCGTGGAGCTGCTTTTGGGCTCATTCACCACTCTTGCATTGGTGGCCGGTTTAGCACTTAATGTATTTATCTTGCTTATTTTATGTCTCAAGGTAAGTTTTCCAACATAGTTTGATTGATCTTCTAATTTCATAATCATAATTTTCACTTAGTTTTCTGGAAAACAAATGCATTATCATTCTGAAACTGGTCTGAACTATACTCGATTATCTGAATAATTGCATTATCTTACTAGCATTTCTTGGTGATATTATCACAATTAGATTTATCCTTCACATTAATGAATCTCATAATATTAAGATGGAAGCATCTGAATGGTACACTAGACACCTATACTATTGCTCCAGTCTGCAAATTCACCTTCCTACGCACTCCCTCCACCAAAGGAAAAAATGTAGATGAAGAAAACTGACAATATTTTCTAGGACAAGTACCCGACTGGAGATGTCATATATGGAGGAGAAACTATGTGGTTTGGGATCTGTATGAATTAAGATTACTATGAGAAAATCTGATAAAGCAGTCGAAATGAATGAACTCAATCATGAAAAGAAAATTCAGCTCCTTTTACTTTAGAGTAACTAGTGATCTGACATGAGCTTTCTGCATGTTTTTGCATACTTTTTCCTGCTCTACAATTCATTATTCTCTGTAGTGTTTACTGTTTATATCATATTAAAATAACCAGCTACTTGGATTGGGATTGGCATGTCAAATGAGGGATCATGATCATGTTTGTCAGAACAGGGAGAAAATGGATTAACCAATGCCCATCTAATATGGGGCTTACAAGAGAAACTAGTTTGTGGTAAATATGCCAGCTGTTGTACTCAAGCTTGTTAAGGCTTATTGAAGGCATAATTAATGGACTTTAATCAGTCATAATTTGAAATATGAGTTATTGGGACTTTTAAGAATAATATAGGGTAGTGATTGGCATAAAAAAATGACTGAAGTTTAGTACACAAGTTCTTATTGAATTTGTTTTGAAGAACTTTAAATATTGCTGAGAGATACAATGCTTGTACAGTGATGTTCCCATGGCCTATGTGTTCTTTTTTTGCAGACGATATTCTTTTCAGAGTTGTACTCTTCTGAAATTCGAAAATTATTAGAACGTCTCATCAATTACATCATCTACAAGGTAAGAAATGACTATGTTCTAATTTCTGTTCCTTTCTTTGTTGCATTTTAGTTTCTTCTAGTTTTATTTACTTATGTTTCTTATTGTACTTAAATCTTAATGATGGTGACTGAGACCTCATTTAAGTTTATTTCGTTATGCCCTTGTTTTTATTTTGTTTGAGCTGACAACTATTTGGCTATGATTGTAAGATTTTTTTGTCAAACTTGTTTTCGATTATGACTCTTATTTCCTTGGGAAAGTATTGAGCAATCATGTTGCTAAGGGGAAGATTGATATGATGATTGCTACACTTTCAGTAGAACTGAAATAGAATGTTACTAGCTCACCCAAGGAATAACAATAATAATAAAAGTTGTTTTCAATTCTCTGTCAGACATGAATTTTAAATTCTAGAGTTCATTTGAGGTTCATAGACTGTAGCCTGCTGTGAAATTTCTGTAACTACATGTTGTGAGTCCTGTGAAATTCTGCAAGTGATGCAAAATGAAAATGTCACAGCAGCTAAAATTCTGCTATGGTTTAATTGAGAATACCATCTACTGGGTTAAGTATTGACAAGCCACTTGTGGGCACTAAAGTATCCTTTGAAAACCAGCAGAATGTATTTTATCCTTTATATCTTGCCGACTTTTCATAGATGGCTTTGATTTCTTGCAAAAAATGGTTTGTTGACGACCATTAAGTACTATTATTTTATTGTGATACAGTGTTTTATTATTTTACTTTTTTGTTTTAATTTTGAACAGTCATCGTTTGTGAAGTCAGAAATTAACAAGGCCTCTGGTCTATACAAACAATTTTAAGAGCATTTCCATGGAAAATATAGGAGCACCTACATATGTGTTTTGACAGGACTGGGTCACGGGAGAGCTTCAGCATTTGTTGGTACCTTGATACTATAGCAAGCATGGCCAATCTGAGTGTCTGTGTGTGTTCGTGCATGCATGCTTGTATTTTTATTTTGGGGATAAGTAAAATGGAAATACATTCAATGCCATGCTAAATTGGTTGAACCGTTGAAGTATATGAAGAAAAAAAGAAACAAATAATCTCTCTCTCTCTCTCTCTCTCTCTCTCTCGGTGACTGATTAATGAGTGGACACAGGGAACATTTCTTCCGTTAGTGGTCCCCCCAACAATATTTCAGGCAGGCTTGTGGTCAACTTGGTTGGGCGTGGTTTGTTTCTTAAAGGTATTCATCTATTCATTCAAAATATACAAGCAGTTGATATTGTTTGGATGCATGGGATCGCTTATTATGAAATTAACATCTGCTTATTGCGCAGATGTTTCAAGCTTTAGCTAGGGATCGACTTGAACGTTTAAATGCTTCTCCTTCTGCAACTCCATGGACATACTTCCGTGTATATTCTGCATTGTTGCTGGTTTTCTCTGTTGACTTGCTCTGGTATTTTACAATACCTTTTCTATTGCATGTATTGCTTGAAATCCACTTTTTTGCCTTCAGAAATTTTTATGATTTTTTAAAATTATTTTTTATCATAAGCTGAAGAATACGAATATGTGTGTAGTAGTAGTAGTAGTAGTAGTAGTAGCAGCAGCAGTAGTAGTAGTAATATTTATGATTTTATATGCTACTTAACCAATGCTTGAGGATGGTTAGCCCCTGTGTGGTAGGAATAAAATTAAGTTTTTAGTAGATTTTGATAGAAGTTGATAAAATGTGTGGTTGAAAAGTTTTGGAACCCATAAAATGTGGTTAAAATGAATTATTGATTTTGATATAGATTAAAATCTAGATTTTAATCGGTACCAAACAGGACCTTAGTCCAAATATTCAAAATATTTCGTGTTGGAAATGGATTGCGCTCCTAGATGTCTTCTTCACTTATGTTTATCTTATTGTAAACATTGGTAATTATTTATTGCTCAAAAGAGTTATATGTATCTTAAAACCCTGGTGGCAGTGGTTCGGTATTCTGGTAAGTGGTATTCCCGTTGTTGTTGTACTATGCTTTTCAAGGGAGAATGAATGCTTGTCCCCCTGGGAGTCATTTTCTAAGCCTTCTTTGGACCCGTCCGACGCCGTGAGACCCAGTAATGCCTAGGAAAACCTTCAGTACCGCTTATACAAAGGCCATTTGAAGCCAAACCTGCCTGCCTTTTCTTTTTCTTCGTATTTTTTTTTGTGAGTGAAGTCCTTCCTACATTTCCCAGCTAACTATTGATTGCTTCCCTTGTTTTGCCTGACACTTGCCTTTAAGATCCCTCATTTCATTGCTGGATGTTGTATTTGCACTCCTCGTGTTATAAGCTTGATTGTGCACTGCTCCAGATTTGCTGTCAATCATGGCCCTATTTTACACCTAAATCCTGCTGAAGAAAGACTATATTTATGCAAGACAGACATACTTTTATTAGAATGAGTTTATATCAGTTTTAGCTTCTGGGTATGGGGGATATTGATTGGTGCAAAGATTAGTTACATTACTTACAAATCTCCGCATACTTTTTAGTATGTCACCTTCTAATTTCCCTAATTTCTGGCATTTAATGTTATATACAGTGGGAAAAAGTTATTCATATACGATATTATATTACCGTTCAACTTTTGTCTAGTTAAAATTCACCTGACTATCTTTTCTTGTTGGTATTGTTGTTTGAAGTTTCTTACACAATGTTTGATGTGTTGTAGGATGTGGCTATGTTTTACCATGTACAGTGCAACTAGTTCATCAGTGTCTTTGTTGTTATTTTTTGAACCTACTAGCATTGCATTTGAGACACTACAGGTAGCATTCATGTCGATTAGTAGAATTTATGGCATTATTGAATGTAAATCACCAATTGGTTGACTGTTTTCTTACTTTTATCCATAGGCCATGGTGGTTCATGGATTTCAGTTGCTTGAGATATGGCTGCATCACTCTGCAGGAGATATTGCAAATTACCGATTATCTAAAATCTTCGATATATCCCCTGCAGGTGGATCTAAGTCTTCGTTTATACGTACCTCTATGTTATTGTTCTTGTGTTTTATATCGCGGATTGCACAATTCATTGTTCTGTTGTCATCTAAGACTTCACAACAACTTTGGCATTGATACTTTTTCTCTGGTTTAAAAGTGGCAAACAACATTTTCTCGGTAAAGCATGATATGTTTTAATTAAATAAACATGGTATCTCGCATTTTAGCAGAAATCCAGATCGATCTAATAGTGAAAGCGCATTGCTTATCAAAATGTAAGATTTATTTTTATAAAGCCAACACAATTTCTCTTAGGTTTAACTTTCTTCCAATGATGCCATATTAGGGGAAAAGCATAGTCCTATTATATTTGTGGGTTTGATCTTATTCTTCTTCAAAACGTTTAAGGGTAAGTTTCACTTTCAGAGTATGCTTTTATTTACCTGGTTAATATGCAGCCATGCTTGGCAGGTGAACTGAGTTGTAGGCTTAGGGAGTAATTACATGGTCAATTTTTCCATTTGGCCCAAAAATGCTTAACCCAAATTAGAACTTAAACAGAAACTCCTACACAACTACATATAGGGTGTTACAGTGACAATGCTGATGTTGTGACAGTTCTACATTTTCTCGTTCATATTTTCTTCCTTCAGGAGAAAATACTTGTTCACAAGTGTTCTGTGAATTTCTTTTGGGCCCCCATTATGAACTGAAATTTACAGTGATAGGATAGCTTGTATTGTTCACTGTTTATGCTCTAAGGTAGCACTATAACTATAGGTTCATTGTGGGAATGGAAAGGCATCATTATTCGAAATTTGGGGTTTTTCCTGGACATGATGACACTGTTGATGGCCATTGCTCATTATCTGCATATTTGGTTGCTTCATGGCATGGCATTTCATCTTGTGGATGCTGTCCTTTTCCTGAACATTCGGGTAAATATTTCTCTCTACTTGCTACCACAATTATAGTTTTTTTATCCTGCTTGATCTTCTTGTTACAGTTGTTATTGTTGCAGCCTGCAGGTGCTGCTTTGCTGTCCTGTTGGTTTGTTATGTTACTTAAATTCATACTTTTTTTGCTTAGGCCCTTTTAAGTGCATGCGTAAAACGTGCCAAAGGTTTCATCAAATTGCGGATGGCTTTGGGGACCCTTCATGGAGCACTTCCTGATGCTACACCTGAGGAGCTTCGAGCATATGATGATGAGTGTGCCATTTGCAGGGTAAATTTGACTCACCTTTGCTTCCCCATCTCATTGAATTTTTCCCATCTCCGCTATGTTATGTATTTATTGGGAAATGACAGGAACCAATGGCAAAAGCTAAGAAGCTGTCCTGTAATCATCTTTTTCATCTTTCATGCTTGAGATCTTGGTATGATGTATATTCTATAATAATTTCCCAAAATGATTGTTTAACGCCACGTGCAGTTGGGATGAGTAGAATCTAATTCTGCATGACGTATCCTTGACAGGCTAGATCAAGGTTTAACTGAGAATTACTCTTGCCCCACTTGTCGGAAGCCACTTTTTATGAGCCAACCTGAAAATGGGGTAAACGCCCGTGCTGCAGAAATTTCAAGAGATGAGCAGCTTGCTCGTGAAATGAGTGCTGTACTTGAGCGGCCAAATCTTCCTAGTCATAACCTGCCCTCTGGAGTCTTCCCTAATCAGCCACAGAATTCAGAAAATGGTGATCGGAGGTCGGTTTTTTTTTTTTCCCTCAATGCTTGAGTGACTATTCTGGCATTAGATATGGCTTTCCTAATATAATTTTGCTGATGTTACTTGTAGTAAGAACATTTTTTGCTGGAATGTTTTGCGGTGACTGAGAACTTCTCTTCTTATTTTCATCTGATTTATCTTTTTTTGAATTGAATTTTTATTTAAATGTTACAATGGGATGATGAAAGGTTGAATTCTGAGCCTAGCTTTGGTGATAACTTATTGTTGGTTGTTTAAAAATTCTAATTCAGTAGAATATAGCAAACCTCATTTGCCCTCGTAAAGGCTTCTATTGCTTCAACAGAGGCAATGTCAAGTGGGTCTCTAGTAGTTCTATGCACTTGATAGCTATCTCGTTTTCCTTTTCCATGGTGAAACAGTAATGCAGTTAATCATTACCTACCGTTACTTGTTTCTCTCTCTTTTTTGTTCTGCTACGAACTCTTTTGACCCACTTCTTTTCTACCCGAGACTGAAAACTCATTACTGTTCTTTGTTCTTTTCCTTTTTACTTCTCCATAATAGGAGGACTGGAATGGAATCAAGTTGGTTGGGTTTAGATGGAGCAGGCCCATCTGGATTTGGTCGAGTTCAGATGGTAATGAGGCAACTTGCAGCCGTAGGAGAAACTGCCCTTGAAGATGCTGCATGGGGATTTTTTCCTCCAAATCCCTCCCAGGCTGGTACATCCAGGATGGGTGCCCCTCCTCCTGGTCCTCTGCGGTATGCTGGAGGTTCTGGTGGTTTAAGTATGAGATCACCATCACATGCATCGAATGATGATGATATAGCAAATATGCTTGCCATGGCTGAAACAGTTCGGGAAGTACTGCCCCACATCCCTGATGATCTAATCTTTCGGGTACAATTTTAATTCATTCTGAGTGAAGAAAGCCTTTCTATGCTAAAAATTCGCTTTAAAAGTTCTGTACAACAAGAAGTATCAAATCCCAGTCTGATATTCGATGTTCTGTGCAAATTTGCAGGATCTACAGCGGACAAATTCTGTGATGGTCACTGTGAATAATCTTTTGCAAATGTGATTTTAGTTACTTTTTTATTTTTTTTATTTTTTTTTGTTTCAAGTCCTTGATATTGGAAGGCTGGAAACTGGTGCAGGCTTGTGACGCATAAAATCGATGTATTTGCAACTTCTTGTGTCTATATTATAAGCTTTCTTTGCTTTATACACAAGGGGCTTAATAAAACAATTTATTCAGGGAAAATGTGCAAATTCCACTCGTCAGGAAATAAAAACAATTCTCTTTACATGAATACTTGTGAGTTGAAATCTTATTGCAGTAGTTTTTTTGTCAAGTTGGGATTTTACAGTGTTCAGTTCCTTGTTGCTTAAACAGATAGTGATGTGGCCCGTTTCATGACGGGCTTGAGTACCATCAACGCTTGGCCATAGTAGTTCACGCAGGGCCAATATTCCTATATTTAGGTTTGTCATTTCGGCTATGTTTGATAGCCATGGTTTTTCATGGAAAATGAAAATTTTGGCTTGTTTGATAAGTCATTTTTTTTCATGGAAAATTTTTCTTACTTTATTCCACACGCGCACATTTTCATGGAAATTGTGGAATTAGTTTTTCCACCATTTTGGTGGGAAAATGAAATTTCAGTTTTTTTTTTTTTTTTGGTAGGCAATTGAAACAAATTTTATAACCAAT